TTTTTTTTTTAAAGAAACCTTAATAGAGATTGCGTTGCATCTATATATTGCTTTGGGTAGGATGTACCATCCTGTTCTTTGTTGGCTGCTGAATGCTTCCAACTTTCTTCTGCTAGAAATGAAGAGATTGTCCCATAACTGGTTAGCATCTGGCTAGGGTAATGAGCTTTAATTTAAGAGTTGAAAGAGTAAGTGAGGGGATGTTGAGACTGCAAGTTTCTTCTGGGTGCTTTTTTACTGCCCTGGTGTCCTGCTCTGTGTGTTTTTTCATCATTGTCTCAACAGCTTGGAGTTCTTTCTAACTACAGATGACCTGGGCAGAGCCCTTTCTCACTTTGAACCAATGCTGCTTGGCTTTCACCCTCTGATCTTATTTAATGTCACTTTCCATAGTCCCTTGGAATTATAATTCAAGGAAGTTACGAGTGTTCCACCCATGGGGCTCACTTTGAAAACCAGTTGTATATCACTCCTGATCCTGCAGGTCACCTAGTCCTGAAATTTTCTTCCATTTCTTGACTTTTAAGGGAAAAAAAAAAAGACTCTTAATAATTTCACTCAGTCCTAATTTCTGTTCCCTGAATAGAGAGGGGCCTATAGCACACATTCACAGTCCCAAATAGAGGACTGTTTTGTTCAGAATGAGAGTCCTGTGCTGGACTTTTTTTTGTTTCCTAACTCATAATATCCAGGAAACAGTTGAATTTAAATTAATTTGTCTCGTGCAAATGTGAGTTAATGATTTCTGGTATCTCAGTGTGTTTCTTTAACTTGGGAGATAGGTTCTTAGTATTTTTTTTAAAAGTTAACTGTAGAAAGTTAAGTATGGTTAAGTAATAAAAGCATACCATCTGCACTATTTCAGGCATATATTATGGCTTAAACAGATGCTTGAGGCTAACTTGTGAGCCTAACCACCATGATTGTTTTTATGGGAGAACAAATTATATATTGTCTAGAGAGAGTAATTTGCTGCTAATATTTAAACCCTAGCCTCCATTGATTTCCTCCTAACCAGAAAAACTGGTACATGCTTAAAGTAATTGCCAATTAAGGACATTTTTGGGTGGTCCTACTTGTCCTCTCTTCCTAGACATGAAGGTCCAAGTGTTAGCTGTGGTGTCACTCAGGTGTACCTGGTTCCAGCTGTGTTTCTGTAGTGCATGCACAAATTTATTTGTCCTTTTGACTCTTTAAAGTTCACAATAAAAGACTGTAATGTAGTGGTTTTGCAGACTTAGAGACTAAGTAGGATGAGAAGTTAGGGAATGGCCTTTTTATTTTTATTTAAGAATTTATTTATGCATACAGAGTTGGGTATAGGCCAGAGATATGGGGAGAGGAGAGAGGATTCACCAGAGAGACAAAGTGGGGGGTAAAACAGGCAGACTGACGCAGTACACTGCTGAGGGTAGCAGCTGGTGAGGCAGAAGAGGTCTCTGTGCCATGTGGGTCACCTCCCTGGCTGGGGATTGAACTCATGGCAAAGCAGCTGCCGATAGCTTCACAGTACTGTGCTTTAACTTTTTGAGCCACCAGAGAGGGCCCAGGGAATGGCCCTTGATCAGCAGAGTAGGCTGGGCAGGTGAGGCTTATCCCTGGGTCTAAATCCAGTCTGTCCTTGTAGGGGACAACATGCCAACTGCCAAGCAGCTAGCTGACATTGGCTACAAGACCTTCTCCGCTTCCATGATGCTCCTCACTGTGTATGGCGGCTACCTCTGCAGTGTCCGAGCCTACCACCTTTTCCAGCGGCGCAGCTCTCGGCGCCAGGCTGCAGAAGAACAGAAGCCCTCAGGAGTCCTGTAGAGCTGGGCGACTCTTTTCTTTAAGCAGAGAGGCCTGAGGCATGCTGTGGAAAGACCTCACCTGCAGTCATTTCCAAGTCAAGAGGACTATGGTTTTCAAACCCCGCTGCAAAGAAGTTCCCTTGTTCTGTCTGGTACTGCCAGTTTGGGGAGCCTGTTGAATCATCACAGGAATGGGAGGGTGAGACCCACCTGTAGACATTAAATATCTTGCCATGTCTGTGTCTTGGTGTTTTTGTTTACTCAAATAGGGCACGAACCACCAAGGTGGAACCTTGACAACCGTTTTCTAGTTGGACTGGATGTAGTGCCAGCAAGCATGGGGCAGGTTCTCTATCGATTCTGGCAGCCAGATAGAGAGTCCTGGCGCCTTCAGTGGCTTTTTCAGGCTTTAATGCTTTTTTTACGCCAGTTGTGTGGAGCAAGCCCACAGGCTGGCAGGCCTCCCAGTCTCCAGCCAATCTGTACCCTTTTCTCTTTGGGTTCTCTCTGGCATCATCTAGCAGTCCTGCCTCTCTGGAGTCACTCATCCTCTCCTAGCCATCCTCATCACAGCCGTTTCTGTGCATTTATGCTCTCCCATACCACACTCCAGGTGCCCACCTCCCGGGTGCCTCCTGCGTTCCATAAACAAGGCCACAGGTGATAGCCATAGAGGCGAGCAGCATAAAAGCCGGACTAACCCGCTGCATAAGCTCTTAGCAGCTATGAAGTACATAGCACATGCTGGTTTAGGATAAAACAGGCAAAAGACTGCCCTGACATCTGTATAAATCCCCTAAGCCTATAGACCAGGCTCAGTTAATGGGGTATTCTGGCCAGTATGGCTACATGTACTTTTCTGTGTCAAGGAAGGCAGAGGCCCTGGTTTAAGAGCCCTGTCAAACTGCATGAAGTGGAGGAGGCATAGCTGCCAATAGGAAGGGTTTCTGGGGACTGCAGTAACATGGCCTACCCCTTTAAGCCCAGTTGATAGAGCATTAGTATAGGGACCAATTTCTCATTCTGCCACTGCACAGGAAATCTACCTGCAGGCCTTACTGCAGAGTTTTGAAGAGAATTTGAAAGAGAACAGTGCATTCAAGGTAAAATCAACTATGAAAATAAGTATTGGCCCTCCCTCGTGGCACAGCAGGTTGGGGCGCAGCAATGCAAGCGAGCCATAGCTGCTTCAGTGCAAGTTCAATCCCAGGCCCCAGAGGTGACCCACATGGAACGGCAGACCCTTCCTGGCCCGCCCACTGCTCCCCTCAGCAGTATACTTCCTTGATTTACCTGTTATGCTCCCCACTCGGGTGAATCCTCTCACCACCCCTGGACCTCTGGCCTGTACTACAGTTCTGTATGTATAAGTAAATCTTTTACTTATACAAACAAGAAAATAGGTATTCTTGCCACAATTCCATGTTGAGCTTTGAAGTTTATTCATGTCATTCTTGGTCAAAACTAATCAGCCTCTGGGTGATAGCCATCCTCTCATGCAGACTGCTCTCACTTTTGCCCCCTACTCATAAGCCTTTCAGTTGAAACCCCTCTTACATGATTTAAGAAACCTACTGTCAGGGCCTCCCTGTTGGGGCAGGGATTAAAGTCAGTGCTAACAAGTTTTCGGGCAGCCACTGTGGCATGAGTTCAATTTCTGGCCAGCGAGCTGACCCACATGACACAGATCTCTCCTGTGTTGCCTGCTGCTCCCTTTAGCTGTATATTTCAGTCGATCCACCTGTTCTGCTCCCCACTCTGTTTCTGGTGAACTCTCTACCCCCTGCACCTTTGGCTTACACCCCAGTTCTTTTGTGCATAAATGAAAAAAACTCCTGAAGAAGTACATGTTGATCTCATTCTCTTTTCTCTGTATTCTTCGTTTACACAGAGGCTGAAGACCTTGTTAGTCAGGTTGATAGCTGGTCCTGGGAACCCTACTGGAGGGAAGGGCAGTGAAGATGAGAGACCACATAGGAACCATAAGAGCTATGAGGAACGTGTCCGACCGGAACTGTGAGTCAATTCCTTATAATTATTACCACCAGATAGTTGCGCCATTTCACTGCTAAAAAGTTTAGTGTTATTTCCTGAATGGCTTTCCTAAAGCAGTCATTTGAGTAAGGACAGATCACCCTCAACACACTAAACCTTCCTCTCCCTCCTTCTCTAGCCTAGGGCTTGTAAACTCTTCTTAGTGAAGACTGAACACAAAATAAAAACCAAACCAGCTGCACTAGGTTGAGGTGAAGGTGGCACAGATAACTTGAGTATGTACTGCGGAGTGTCAGAACTTAGGCCCCTTTATTTTATTTATTCCTTACATTTACTTATTTCTTACATCATTAATTTTTGGACAGTGTTTGGCTCTCCCCACAGGTGCCGTCCCCGTAGTTTTCACACCGCCATAGCACCCGTGATCCGTCACCGCAATCCCTTCTCTCCCACTTTTGGCCCTTCTCCCTTCCCCTCCCCTGCTGTATATATTTAAATGTATTAAATGCTGTATGCATCTTTTAATCCATTTCCCATACCTCTTCAAGATCTAGTCCTCAGTTCTAGGGTAACCCTCTCCACACCTACTTTTAGTTATCAGCTTTATGAATTATTCCAAATTTACTAACAAGCACTGAGAATATAATAACTACTATTTACCCATCTTACCCACATCCTCCCTCCCCTATTTTATGGATGTCCTGAATGAACTCTACAAATAGGCTTTATGGACCCCACCCCCAACCCAGACCAAGGAAGTACTGCAAATCCCATAATGCCTCGCCACTGTAGGGAGGATTGCTGGTGACTGAGGGTGGAGTTAAGCAGCCTGGCTTGGTATATAGCTAGCCACGTGCGCCTTGGGGGTGGGGGTTGGTTTCTCATGGGCCTTTAGCTTGCTATTGGGTCCCAGCTGGTAGGACAGATTCACCAACTTATCTCTTTCTCTGTGGGTTATTCCTCTCTTCATCTGCCCTTTTTGTAAATAAACCCTTTATTAACCTTTTTGGTATGCGCTTGCAGGTGAGTCTCATTGTAAGCTTTTTAGCATGTGCGTAAGGACCTACATTCAGGCCAACCCATTTCACATTAGGGTTGCCCTGTAACACTGAGAAACATCCATTCTCAGCTGCTAACATGTTTCTGTTCTTTTACTATAGTACCCTTAATATTTTTGTCTTAAAAAGTAAAGTTAGTTGCATCAACTTGATATGTTCTTTTGTAACTTGCCTTTTCCATTTAACACTGCTTTATTAGCCATTTTGCTAATTTTTTGATGTCATCTTGAGTTGATCACCGGGTATGAAGGTGTTTGGTTAAATACTATTCCTGGTGCATCTGTGAGGACGTTTCGGGATGAGATCAACATTTGGGTTTGCAGGCTAAATAGCACCGGTGTCCCTCCAGTGTGGGTGGGTCTCAAATAAGATATTGACAGCTTGAATAATCAAAAGGTGAGTAAGAGAGAATTCTCTGTCTGGGGGTCTTCAAGTTGGAACATCGACTTCCCCCTCTTTGGGCTTGAACTGGCTTTAACAAAGTCAACTTCCCTGCTTCTTAGGTCTTAAAACTCAGATTTGAACAGGATCATTGGCTCTCTACCTTGCTGGGTTTTTTTGGCCTCCATAACCATGTGGCAAATTCCTTATTAGAAAGTCTCTTAATACTGTATAAATTTCCATCCTCTTGATTCAGACTAGTAAATCCATATTGATAGGAAAGCTTAGTACATTCACAGCTACATAATATTCCAGTTATAGAGTAACTCAACTTACTTCCCTAGTGAGGGATCATAGGGCAAGTGGATACAGGGGGAAGTGGGGGCCAGGCCAGGAGGCTCCAGAGGCAGCTGAGCGCCCGGGTCCACCAGTCTGCACCTTTGCACTCTAGTGTCCTCTCAGGCCTTCTGCCGCTCAGACTCCTGTGGTCCTTCGGAGCAGACCTGCCGCCCTTCTAGCCCTTGCTTCTCTGCAGATGCCCACACTTAATACGCCAACACCCACGCTCTCTGGGCCCAGGTGTCCATAATCGTGGGCCCTGGGCAGCCCTGGAAGGGTGCAAGGCTGGGGGTAGTGGTTATTAGAGGATGGTGGAGGGGGGATGGGAACAAACCCTGCTAACCTCTCTGACCCTACAGAGATCATTGGGTGGTTTCCACTTACTCCGTCTTAAGATAGCAATGGGTGAGTGTGTTTCCTTCGGCTCCTGTGTCATTTCCTCGGGGAGACTACTGTCTTTTAATAGTTGCTTTTTCAAGGTGGTTGTTTCACTCTTGTCAGCAACATTTCCCCATTCTCTTGGTGTAAAGTGGTTTCTATTCATTTTAACTTATCCATGATTTCCAATAAAATTGAGCACATTGTATTGATCTGCTAGCCATTAGGAGCACCTTATTAGCAGTGTTTTATTAGTTATGTGTGATATGTTATATAGTACAGGTTTGACTTTTTTGAGCTTTGTTATTTGGGAAGTTGTGGGAGTGGGGGCATAGGAATCCCAGGTTGTTGGCATCCTCATACACACCTCTCCAGAGCAGGCCCATGGGTCACTGCTTTCACTCCAACTTCTATGCAAATTCTTACAGGAGGGGAGAGGATGGGGAACAGATACATTTCCCAGAACACACAGGGAGGTATGCATTTAGGTTTTTAATTATGTGAGCCCTATGGTTCTGGAGTCTCTTGACCCCACAGGCCAAGCATTCAAACTTCCTTGCTTTTCGCTTCTGCCTGTGGGGTAGATTTTTTAAATTTTCCCCTTTCATTATGAAAAGACATAGCTCTGGGCCTCCCTGGTGGCACAAGAAGTAGGAGCACAGAACTATGGGGCTGCCCTTAGCCACTGCAGCATGAGTTCGATCCCCCACCAGAGAGGTGACCCACATGTTCAGCAGACCCCGCCCGCCTCGCCTGCTGCTCCCCTCAGCAGTGTGTTTCAATCATTTGGCCTGTTCTCCACTGTCTCTGGTGAATCCTCTCACCGCGCCCCACCCCCCCACCCCCCCCGCACCCCCCAGCCTGTACCCCAGTACAGGCTGCAGAAATATTTAAAAAAACAAACTATAGCTCGCTCAGAGCTCCAGCTTCCTGTCTTCTCTTTTACTAGCATGAAACCCTAGTCCTGTCCTTCCTTATTTTTCCAGCTGTTTTGACTTCTGTCCTAGTTTTTAATTCATTTCCTTCTATTGTGTTCTTTGCTTGGAAGCTCAGCTAAATAAACTCTTAGAAGATGCTTTCTTCACCATGTCTGTCTTGTGTTAGTTTAAACCAGAAGTGGTATTGCTTACTCTCACATCTCTTCTAGATATAACTTTCACTCCTGGTTGTCCTGGCAAAAACTCTTTAATATCCTGGCAAAATTCTTTAATGCACCAGGTCCATTTTCAACTTTTTTTCCTTCGTGAGAATTTAGAATAGTTTTTCTTTTAAAAAATATTTATGCATACAGAACTGGGGTACAGGCTTCACCAGAGACAAGAGTGGGGAGCAGAACAGGCAGATCAACGAAGCACACTGCGTAGGGGAGGAGTGGGTAGGTCAGGAGGTCTGCCGCGCCATGTGGTCACCTCCCAGGGCAGGGATCAAACTCACGCTGAAGTGGCTTTAGCTTCTTGTGCTATGCTTTAACCCACTGTGCCACCCAGGAGGGCCTAGAATAGTTCTTAATCTTGTTTTTCCTTTACCATAGTATGAGCCCTTTGAGGGTATCAAAGTTTTTTTGAACTGAAAGTATTTTCCCACATGCAGACTCAAGCTAGAATCTGAACAACTTGCTTCAAAATCAGAGTAGTTTGCGACTAAACTTGTATGTTTACTTTTGGGATTGTGATGTATCATAATTAGCAACCTGGGCTTTTTAAAATACAACTTCTAAGTAGTTTCCTCACTGCAATAGACGGAACTTTTCAAAGACAGCTGCAACAATTTCCATGCTCTTCTGCAGGAGACCCTGCCATGCCAAGAGTAGGCTGTCCTACTACTCTCCTGAATGTAGGGGTTGCTGTGACTTTGATCAGTAAAACCAAAGTGGAAGTGATGTGTACCAGATACAGCTACTCTTAAATGGCCTGGCAACCTAGCCAACTTTTGCTTCCTGCCTCTTTAAGAGCACAACCTTCACAGCTTATGTATGTGTCTTATAGGTACTGACTAGTTACACAGTAATAAAACAATAGAACACACATTTATGGAATGGGAATAATAATCCCTACTTTTATAGAAGTGTTTTAAAATCTAGTTGATATGTGAAGTAATTTCCCGAGAAGTAAAACACTATACAGACTAGTGATTTTTGTAGTAAGTAATAAAGACCCTTTTATAGTCAGAGGTAATGCTGTGCTTTTCTTACAAATATGCTGTTTTCTGGTAAGGATGAGATAATCAGCATATCATGTTCTTCACTGCTTTGGTGCCTTCTTTTGGACATGAAAAATCCCAAGTCATTTCTAAAACTGACCTTGGCAGCTTTACTGTCACTATATTGTCTTGCAGCTCTGTATTCAACCCCCTTAGCACCCTATAGTTCAAACCCCACTCCAACTGTATCTTTATCTATCTAAATATGATATACACTGTGTCTTCTCAGAACAAGCTGCTGTTTCTGTAATTGACCCTAATCTCAGCTCATTCATCCAAAGTAAACACTGTAATCAGCCATGCTTCAACATCTATTCTTCATTCTGAAGTCTCCGCAAGTGAAATAGTCCAGTGGTTACAAATAGACACTAGGTTTGACTCCATACTAGCTGACCTCAGGATAGTTCTCCCCAACCCTTTCATTTTTATATGTAAGGTATTTAAATACAGTCTGGCTTGTAATAAATAAGTGTTAGCTATTACAATTTTTATTATTATACCTTTTGGTTGCATCTTTTGTCAGATTAACTGTTACCCAAACCTACTTGTACTTACAAAGTAGTTGTTGATATTTAAAAGCATTTTCTTCCATATTCAAATGAGCCTTTTCATCAATATATAAAATTGAACAATTGTATAAGATACAGAGACTTTTTAGTCTTTTAGTCTTCCTCTTTAACTCTGGTCAAATGACTGTTAAAATTTTTAGAAGTTAGTTTTCCATGCCCCATAGGACGTTTTTTAAAATCCAGTCACTCAGTAGGGTCAATGTCCAAATAATGTTACTGCACATCTGACTCTTAGAACAACAGCCTGTTTTCCTTCAGTTCGTCCCCACCTCCCTGGCATAAAGCACTCCATATAGCTTCACATCCATTAGCGTATCTGGAAATATTTTGACAACCCGAATATTTGTGAAATGGAAAACCGACAGATGATTACTACTATTGGTAATTTTGACAGGACCTCAACTATAGTGAAGTCTGGATTAGGAAGACTTTCTCTATGGGCTAAGAGAACATGAAGTAAAACACACTCAGTTTGATCACAATCTTAAAATGTTAACTGATAAGTCTCTGTATCTGATAAAAGTAGGAAATACAGGTACCTAAAAATGCCTTAGCTCTTTCAAACAAAGCTTTTATTACTACGGCGATATACAAGCTTATCTGTTTAGTATCTAGAACCAGACCTGAAAAATTCTTATTTGTGTATTCAGGGAACTGGGGACAGCATCACTAAAGAGGTTGAGACAATTGAGGGTTGAAGCACTTTTAATCGGAGAAGAGTAAACAATAATACCAACCGCTTTATAACAGCTCACCCAGTGGCTGTTGTCCTCCAGCCCTCAGCACAACCTCTCCCACACCCCCCTCCCTGCGTACCATTGAGTAAAGAGCAGGGTATCAGCAGCTGTCCATGTGGCTACCTGGTGGTAGGGAGGTTACCTAGCTAGGGCCCTGGCTGGCCATCCATGGTGTCTATTTTTATATGACTTATGTGAAATACTCCAACTTTGAAGGAGGAACAGCCAGAATACCTGGAACTGGGGCTGAACCATCCAGATGGCCAGAGCCTCACGAGCCACGGCTACAAGGGAGGGGGCAGTCAGGAGCCAGCCTATGTCAAGATGCAACCCAATCTGGGATTGAGGTGGATTCAGAGAGGGACCAGGCAAGGCCTGGAAACCTCAGTCCAGACTGTGCCCAACCCAGGCAATGGAACTCAAGCATATACATACACACACACATATGCGCGTGTGCTCACGCTCACACTCACACACACACACAGCAATAACATTACTGAGGAAACCTGGAGGCTATTAAATACAAAATGGCAGAGTTAAAAAAAAAAAGTGAAAACATTTCTTTCTTTGATATTCCTCAATGCCGTGCGGCCTCCTTAGTCACAGGAGTGTAGGTAAGAGGAGGCCCAAGAGGAATAGGTGGCCTGTGGCCCTGCAAGTCCACGTGTGCTGAAGTCCCCATCTCTACCACTTTACTCTTCAGTCCAGCAACTGCCTCCCATGTGCCCATTCACCAGCTTGGCACCATTACTGGAGCTGCTACCACAGGGACTTTTCGTGCTGGTGGTCATGTCTTCTTCCTCTGAGCTGCTCTCCACATCGCTGCGATCATCTTTAGATACCTAGATGGGATGAGGTCAAAGACAAGAAAAGTGAGGCGAGAACTTTTCTGGAATCACAAGAGAGTCCATGTTTGGGCGCTGTTCCCAAACTGGCCCTCCTCCTGCTGGCAGCTGACTCACAGGTATTACCTGAACCATAGCTACTATTATGAGCAGATCTGCCTGCTTTCTTGGTCTCGCCATCTTATTTCTTGATTCTTCTGCTGGGGTACAAGGGGTTTGTTTTTTTAGGACCAACCTAAAAGAGCCAAGATCCATCCACTGAGTCTTGGCATAATTTGAAGGAAACTCTAGACACTTCCCTTCTCATCTCAAAAAGTATGTAAGACCAACATAAGCAATCTCTATGGCTGTCATCACTGCTACTCTCCTACGGTGCTGTGGTAACTGCAGCCACTCATGTTAGTGCCCTGAGTTTTGCTTTACCATCCTATGGGCTGATTCCTAACTGGGTCTTTTTCGGTAGCCCTACTCTGCCTGGGTTCATCAATAATCAATGATGCTGTTTCTCCATTCTTTTCCCTTTCACCAGCAGCAAGACCACTTTTCTTTTGCAACCTCATCATCTCTAAGACTCACCAGTATGGTGAAAATGAAGTGGACTGGCAGGCAGTGAGAGATTTCCAGTTCCAATTATGCTATCTGTGAATCTTTACTGTCAACCTCAGGGTCTGAGCAGGTTTCCAATCTAAATTACCCTTAGTCTTAAACAAGCTACTTAAATTTCTCTACCATCCATGGGCCATAAAAGTAAAGGAGAAAAGCCAGTGAGTCCTGCGTCACACTTCTCGCCTTACACTGAAGAATAATGAACGTGAGTTGAGTGAAGGACGGGGGTGGTGCGAAGGGAACAAAGCTGCCATTGCCGCTGGCAGGAGTGGGGCTTATTTTAGTTTAGCTCTGAGATCTGTCAGCTTCTTATAGCTGTCGCCCATGACCACAGACAACAGACTACCTGGCTATTAGGAACTTTCCAGCAGAGGGCAGAGTATGTCTAAGGAAGTAAAGGGAAACTCAAAAATGGGGAATTAAAAAAAAAAAAAAAAATAGGGGGAAAAAGAAAGTAGACTTCTGCCTCTTAGGAAAGAATCTAGCAACTTGAGTGCCAGCCGACAATGGCCCTATGGCGTCAGAAAGAGGGCATGCTCGAGACAATACAGGGGAACAGAGAGGAAAGCAGGGAGAAAGAGAAACAGAGACATGCTTCACCAAATACTAGAAGCACAGATACACTTACATGCAAGAGATGAAACTTTCCAGCTCCGGCCAGGTATAGAGAAAAGGTAGGAGGTGAGAAAAGAGTGGAGAGTACAGAGTCTGGGTCTAATCCTTCCTGGACAGGTCACCTGGTCAGGAAAGAAAAGCAGGTAGGAGAGAGAGGCCCAGTAGCTACAAGAAGCACAGGCACACTAAGCAAGTTCTGAAACCAACTTTAGCCGTAAAGAACAGTGACAAAAGAAGTCTTATGCCTGGGTGACATTCCATCCTTTGTCCCAGAATTAGTGATTCCCCTACCAGAGCCCATCCCCTTGAGATTCTCCCATTAATGAAGATCGAAATCTCTACTACTTGAATTAATCACAGGCTGAATATTCAGAACTTTCAAAATTCAGTTAAATTTCATCATCAAGTAACACCTTTGTGCTTTGGGGCACCTGTTGTATAAAATGGATATTTGAAACCCTAAATACACACTTCACTTAGGACCCTTGTCTCATACAACAGTCGGGAGTGGGGAGGAACAACTGGAACTTAGTCCCTACTAAGTTAGTCCCAGTGTGGTCTTCTTGAGGTGGTCTGGGGGTACCACATTGCTCCTAGGATATCTAACACCTCTGCTTTTATAATTTTATATTGTGGTGCTCTACACATAATTTGCGCTGAAAACAAAAATATGAAGACCACTGAAGTAGCAGGTCAGGTATAAGAAATGGCTGTGGCTATAAAATTTAACTCTCTTCATTATTTTACAAGTCATCTCTATGCAACAGGAAAAAGATACCTTTTACATCTATGTCATGTCTTAAAAGGGTTAGGCCCTTGTACTACAAAAAAAGGCAAACAAATCTGGAGTCCCTGACTTTCTGCTGGGTCTGTTTGTGTAGATGGCGTTCACCAGGCTAGATGGAGAAGGTCCACTGATTGATTAATAGCTATCTTCTCCCTCAGCCTCAAAGAGAAAAGCTGTATTTTATCCTCACCTTTCCCCGGATCAAGGCTTTGAAAGCAATTCGTGCAATTAGATAGGACCAGATGACATGCAGAACTTGTAGGATCAGGAGAAGGCCATTGAAGAGCCACCAAGAGGGATAGGGTCCAATCATCTCCCAACTCTCAAAGAGGGTCGTGTTCAGAATCCTAGAAAAGGGAACCATTGGTCAGACACTTGAGTCCACACCAGACAGACAGGATGAAAGAGAACTGGGTCTTCTCCCCACACCTGTAAACTGACATTTCTGGGATATACACTCACAGTGAGAAAAACTAAAGAAAGGGACCTATGCAGTTTTCTATCTTTGGAGGCAGGTGAACCGCCTCCATTTTAAGAACTGATGGTACAACTCATTAATTGCTTCAAATATGTAGTTTCAAAAAATCAGGATCATAACCCTAAGATACTTAGCTCTTCAGGCACAAACAGGATAGTAGGTAACTAATTCCCTCAGACTAACAATTTCTAATCCACAGCATCGCTGACTTTGTACTGTAAAAAGTACAGAAGTGACAGTGGTATGTGTACATGCTGGCTATGGTAGGGGAGAGAATGTAGAGCAGGAAAACAAGTATAGTCTGAGAATTTGGCAATCAATGCAAAAGGCAACAAAGGAATTATTTAAGCATAATATACTTAGGTGTTCCTCAGAGGCTAAGTCAGGAAAACCACAGCAAGTCAGCTGAGGCACTGAATCAGATTACACCTCACTAGAAATACTGTACAAGGCAAATGAGTTCTTGTAGCATCCCGGATGGGTTTTTTAAGTTAGATGAAAAGAAAACGTATATAGGGTTCTTGGTGGTCTGTTCCCCAGATTGGCAAAAGGTGTCACTAGCGACCTATGTATCTATTACAGCTGCACAGTCCTAACACTTACCAGAATGGATAGATTCCTAGACGAGTGACCACAAAAACAGCACTGAAAACCACAAAAAGGGTGTCACAGAGACGCTGATACTTGGCATAATTGGCCAGCTTAGCTGCCTGGAGAAAGGAAGATAAGAATTAAGCTTGGGAGAAAATCAGTTCTCACATAGGAAGAAAAGAGGAAAAAGAAAAGAATGATGAGGAAGGTGGGGCAGGTCTTACCTCCAGCAGGAAGTCTGAGACATCATGGAGACACATGACCAGGGTCCCCACCCGGACCATATTGTTGATGTAGGAGAAGGTAATGAGCCCGATGGTGGCCAAGTGATGCACAAACATGATCAGGAAGTCCTAGGAGGGGACAGAAGTAGAAGAGGGATGCCCTGCCCTGCCCTCTGAGGTGCCCCTGCTCTGCTCCCCCTCTGTCTCTGGTGAAGCCTCTCACCCTCCGCACCTCTGGACTGTACCCTAGTTCTGTTTGCATAAATAAAAAAGTCTACTGCTTTAAAAGTGACAGTTGTACATCTGACATGAAAATATAGTCCACATGTTGACATGGTCTGAAAACAGCTTGCTACAAAAACAGCTCATGCCCATGTTGGGGAAAATATGTAACAGTCCACACACACTTATTTATAACACACAAATATTTTATAAATATGCACATGTATATCTATTTAAAAATGTATATAAGTAATGAAAGAAAATTAAATCTGGACTTATTTCCCACAAATCAACAGTAACCATCATCTCTCAATACCGGGAGTAGAGACTTTGTTTTACTTTTATTCATCTGTATTTTCCCAACGTTCTCTCATGTACGACTTATATTTATTAGTCCTATAATGAATATTTTAAGCACAACGCCCCAACCCTGAAGGCTCAACTCTGCTCATTCTCTACCTGAAGGAGCTGCCTGCTACCAAACTCCAAGCGGTGCGACACTTAGCCCACAATCGACATTAGTGCAACTCAAAGTACAGGAAGAATTGCTTTGCTTCGGTAATTACCAACTAAGCTGTGCACAATCGGTGAGCTAACAATGAATAATTCACCAGCTGTCAGCTTGACATAAAAGTCTTAGATATCCCTGCAATTGTAAAATGATTCTGCTTTACAAAGAAAATTTCAACCCAAAGGGATCAAAATAGGTTGGTGGAGAGCTAAACTCTTCTAAAAAGTTTCAGAGAAATGCTCATCAATTTATTTTACTGCGAATACTTCTTACTCTCATATTAAAACTCTCATTTCCTCTTGTCTCACATACGAAGATTAAATCTGTAAAAATAGGTAAATACCTAAGTTATTAGACATATTTATTAAGTATTTATCATCCCAGTGAAGGAGAGAGGGTGGGAGAAGACAGGTGAATTGGGGTAAAAGGACAAGGGTCAAGGGACAGTATGTTCTAGTTCTTGAGTTGGGGCTGAAAACACAAGTATAGATTCTAGTATGTTTTAAAACTTACATATATGTTAAAAACCTTTTTATATGTGTCATGTACTAAAATAAAATGTTAATTAAGGGAAACAGTCTCCTGACTGTTGGAGAATGAAAGCCATCTGAACTGAGTACTGAGCTTCTAGGTTACACGACTCATCTCCCAGATTAGTGCCAATACATTCCCCTGAATGCTAACCAGGGTCTTCTTCACCAAGGATTACCACTATATGAGGGCAGGTTAGGGAGGGAGTTGCTGGAACACATGCTGTACACTGACAAAAAAGGTGAAGAGTCTGTTTTTTCTGTTTGATTATACAAAACTTAAGTATTTTCTACCTTAATTACTAGGTGGCCAAATCAGCTCACTTCTCTAAATCTTTGTTACCTAAACAATAGCAAGAGAGTAAACTAAGTCACCTAAAACCTCTTCCAATTGACATTCTTTGAGTCACTAAGAAAGGAGAACAGAGAGACAACAAAGGTCTCATGTCAAACAAAAAGCCAGATCCAACTCTCCTGGAATCAGTTCTTTTATACCCAAGTTCTGAGAACCCCCAAGTTCTATATAAGAACCTTGGAGAAAGGTAAGGAAAAGAGTATGTTTCTTAGCTGGCTAACCATTCTCATCCTGGGATGCTGTCAATACTAAATACACTACATCATTATGAAAGAAAAAACAAGTCTCATTTCTGAGACTTACCAGGAGCTAACATTTTCAAATGTTGTGGTCCAATCAGGACAAAGAATCCAACACAATGGCAGTAATGGTAACTATTAGAAAGGAGACAGTAAATAAAGGGTTGAGAGAACCAATGTCCTTACCTTTCTTTTAATGTCTGTAAACTGAGAAAACATAAGGGACCAATAGAAGGCCAATTCCATGATGTAATAGTAATAAAGCCCACTTGTGAGAGGCTGGAAGAAAACAAAGAAGTTGTCAGACTTCTTTGAGTTTTTTCTGAATTAGAGAACCAAGGCCCCACATTATTAGATACCCATCTTCCCCATCATTTCCCAAGATCTGCAGTAGTGAGCAGACTTTGGATCGGTGTGATGACTTACAGCACTATCCTGTGTCCTTCAATGCACAAATCTTTAGCTCTCAACTTTAGTTATAGTTAACACATGCCCAGCATAATCAAGTCAGAGTATCTTGAATTCTAGACACTTAATAGTTTTCAGATTAAACTGGCACTGTACTCTCCCTATACCATGTCACACACACAAGACCCTTGTCTTGAAAGGGCTCAAGCTCCTACCTGGTAGGGGTAGCTGTGCCAGCACTGTCGGGTATCCCAGAACCAAGGTGACTAAGAGAAAAACAAGATAACCCAGGTCATTCTTGAACATTCTTTCCTGGATTAGTCATGTAATGCCCCCTCCCTCTAGGTGAGGGAAAAGAACAAGAAAGGAAAAGTAACTGACTTTGAATTCAGGGGTCCTTACAGGGTCAATAAATGTCTAGATTTCTCCTCTTGAACAACGGAATATCATTACAGACAGAAAAACCACATCCTCAGGTAAACAGGAACAGGGACAGCGTTGGGGTGGTTTTAGGAAGAAGCATCACTACCTGGGATCTGGGAGACAAAGACGATTCTATATAACTGTGAGAGATCTCTGTGTCAAAGGTCCAAAAGATTCGAAGATTCAGATACTCTAATGGAACTTTAATTTTAAGGAGTGTATTTTATCTAAACTGTTGAATTTATTACCATCTAATCATTCACAGTGTTGCCTTATTATCCCTTCAGGGGCTACAGGACCTGAAATGAGATACCCCATTTCTCCTTGATAGTGATCATTTGTACTCTTTCTTCCCTCAGGGCCTCTCCATGTTTATCAAAACTTTCAGAGAGGCAACTTTTGGCTTTAATTATTTTTTTCACTGTGTGACAAATGCCTATTTCATTAATACATATATTAAATAAATTTTTCCCTTAACCTCCTCTAGGTTTCCTTTGCTCTTGTTTCAAATCTTAAAGTAGAAACAAGATTATTGAATTCGAAACTTTCTTTTCTATAATAAACATTTAAGATACACATTTCTCTGTAAGCATGTTTTATTTAGCTGCATTCTACAATTCAAAATATTTTCTAACTTCTCCAGTGGTTTATTTCTTCTTTGATCCATGGGTTATTTAGAAGAAGAACTGTTTAACTTCCAACATTATCTTCTTATTCCATTATAGTCAGAAATCTATTTTTAAGGCTTTGATATTTCAAAATTTACTAAGACTTATTTTATGACCTATTACATAGTCCTAGTTGATGGTACATTTGAAAACTGAACGCAGTCTTCCGTTGCTGGTGTAGTGTTCTATATGTCAGTTAGATCAGGTTGGTTGATTTGTACTGAACAAACCTACTTCCTTAGCGATTATTTTGTCTATTGACTTAGCCCAGTTAGAGAAGAGTATTTGTGAGCTTCCTTCAGTTCTGCTGCTTTTGCCCAACTATATGCTTTAGAGGAAACTAGTGTAAAGTTTCCTCTAAAACAACAAAATGGTAATCAGGAATCAAAAATCTGCCAGGCTTCTTTGCATTCTGACAGTTAACTGGAAAGTAGAAATACTTGTCTTATCCACTTTTAAGGATTGTTGATTCTGATTCCTTTCTATAACTGGCTTGTGCATAAAAGAACAGGACTTCTGTCAAGTGCTTTGTAAACTACCACAAGCTAAGCTATTTCATCAACACTATTATTATTTGCCTTATTTAGGAGAGAAACAGTATAGTGATGAGGTTAGTAGAGTCAGGACCCAGTCAGAAGACAATTTATTGAGCATATGAACTTGAGCTAGGGGTATCACAAAAGGGTGGGAAAAAAAGATCTAAAGGTATTTAGAGATGTGGGCACAATGAAAACCTGACAGAGAATGTTCAGACTCACCGTCCAGAGAAATCGAATTCCATAGCAGAATATACATAAATAAAAAGTGAACCTCCACCTGGATCAGCAAAAAAATAGAAGTTAGGTACATACTCTTTCAAAAGAGCATCTCAGGCTAGGGTAGTCAAGCCTGCACATATGGGGATAATATAGTTACTAGTGAGAAACAGGGTAAGTTCTCAAAATAGGGATACTTAAATACTATTGCCTAAAAAAACCAAACATAGAGACATCTTCCAGTCTGTTTAAAACAGTGTACAAGTGTACAGTGGTTTTAATATACTTGTTTTCAATATCAGGACCCTGATGATAGTGCCTGATTTTTAAAAATTTTGCATGACATAATACTGCTTTGTTTCTTGAGGATAACGGGCAAAAACCCAGGGAAATGAAGTATAGGAAGTATGTTCAGAAAAGGGATGCTTCCCACCAAAAGGTCAATTTAGAGCCAGGCAGTCCTGTCTATGCAAACATCTAAGAGTGTGCGTCAGTACGCACATTGTGCTGTTACAGGAATTCATTCCCATATACTTTGGGGAAGAGAAATAAAATGAATCTATAGCTGTCTTAGTAGTAAACATGTCTAAGAAACTAAGGGTGACCAGTCTGTCAGTTTTCTTCCCTACCCGTAACAGACTAGCAGTTATCTCCAAAAGGAAAGCCTCAGTCCAGCCACATGCCCCCTTCTCCTCGTTTCCCATCACCCTTGCACACCTACATGCTTTCACAGAATTTAGTAAGCGTTGGTGGCTTGTCCTGATTCCTCCGACGGCGAAACCAGCATTGGATTTTTCGGACATCCCAGTCCAGTTGCTTTGACAAGCCCTGCAGCTTTTTCTCATCGGGATACTGTAGATGTATGGCTAGAGTCAGAACATCCCTTTGTCTTCAAACCTCTTTAAATTCCTTTGACTAGCTGAGTAACAAAGGAGTGATAACCACAGTGGCTCAAGTGATGTTTACCTTCCCAGGTCTTAAGTAGGAAGACCTACCTCACACTCACCTACACACATTCTTGTTCAGACTTCTAGCCAAAGCTGAGTAAAAAGATATTAAAACCCCAAACTGCAAAGACTATCAGTATTGCCCCCATCTTGATTATACAACTACATAAACAAAATCAAGATACGATATCAGGGCAGCTGTGCCTAAAACTCAAACGTATGTAAACTTGACTTAAGAGACTGGCACAAAGGTATTTCCCTGAGGAAAAAAGTTCTCCATATAGCATCACCCACAAGTGAAAGATCATCCCATCCTATGTAACGTTCTCTATCCCACCCCACCTAGAACAACCTTTAACATGAACCTTCCTCTCTCTTTGCCCACTTACCTTGGTAATAGATACGAACACCTTTTCAAGGATGGCATTGGGATGAGCCCGATGTAGACAAGTGTGCTGGATGCCAACATGGAGTGCACAGGGTTTGGCAATAAATCTGTAATGGAGAAAACCCAAAAGCCAATTTTATATATTTTGCAAAGCATGCAGAAAAGGTCCTGTTTAGGAGAGTGATAGGAGGAAAAAGGGATCATTTGGCTAGGAGCCAGGTTTTTGACTTAGGGCTGTATTGGACCATGGACTCACTTGAGAAATAACCTTTTTGTTGTTGTTGATATTTATTTATGCATACAAGAACTGGGGTACAGGCCAGAGGTATGGGGGTGGGTGGGTAAGGGGATTTACCAGAGATGAGTGGGTATTGGAATAGGCATAATGATTGAAATATACTGCTGAAGGAAACAGTGGGTGAGACAGGAGAGGTCTGCTGCACCATGTGGGGTCAGCTCCCTGGCTGGGGATTGAATTCATGCTGCAGTGGTTGTGGACAGCTCCATAGTACTGTTCTTTGACCCCTTGTGCCACTAAGGAGGCCCCTGAAGAGCTTTCTAAATACAAATATCCTGAATCATGGTCACCTCCCTGCCTAATGAAAAAGATTGTAGAAATACCTAGAACTTAGTCTTGAAAGGAATAAGGAAACTGGGGGGGGGCGGGGCGGGGGGCGGGTGTAAGAAGGAATACAGCTATTATTCCTCAATTCTACTGCCAGATCTACTTTTAAGTCACATGAACTTGGTCAATTCCTGGGTATCTGTTTCATCAACTAAAAGAAGAGGTTATAAAGATGATTTCTGACTTCCCCTCCCCCAATATGTAAGATTCCATAGCTTTATCATTGCTTATTACTTGATTATTAAAAAAAGCTCTTCAAAATCAAAGATTTTATTGTGAACATTAGCTTTAGGAAAAATTCCATATAGTCACTTTCAGTATCAGTCAAAACCAGTTTCAGCCCTCTTAGTATTTTAGTATTTATTTAATGAATTACTGTAATGAAGAAAGTGACATTTTAAATCAGAACTTTGAAAAAGTTCACATTCTATATCATTCACCTGGCATTTAGTATAACTTGTAAAATCACACGATAAAATTATGTTTGCCGGTATAAGAGAATGCACTTGACTGACCTATTTTCTTGATCTGCATTTGAATCCAGAGTTTATTATCTCTAAGGGAGGAACTGAGAAAAGAAACTTTATTAACCTTCCTCCAACAAAAAAACATATTTATCCTTATCAGCATTTCTGAGCCATGGGAAAACACTTAGAGCACAAAATCAGCCACATCTGTAACCCATTCTTCCTCTTCTAAACAAATGATACAAGAGTTTCATTCAAAGGTCAGTGCTAACTGCTAACAGATACTTTATTATTAGCTGGTATTAGTGTTCTGTGTACAAATATTTTATAGTCTTCGCTGCCCCACTCAAGTTTAAACTTCTTTTGTATCTACCAAGATTCTGTGCTCACCAACTGACAAACCACGGGTCTAGTGAATCCAACTCTTGATTCATAGAGCTCACTGGGATCCAGGATTGATCAGCATTTAGAAGAATGATTAAGAGCCATTCTGTTGCTGAATACCATTATCAGAGGCAAACGGGAGGCAGAGGGAGAGTCATCTTTCTCCTCTCAGCTACATTAACTGGAGACTGATCAAAAACAAAAGTGGCCTTTCCAATTTCTACTCTTTGCCCTGAATCCAGGCCTCTTCCTTAATTCAGAACAGGAGGTGATTAAGGGACCCCCTGCTAGGCAGACATTTTTCTAGCAGAGAGACTCTGAACATACTCATTTATAGGCTGGGGATACATCATCTACTTCACAACATCATTTAAAGATGAAGTTAACAATTTGAGTTTAGTTTAGTACCTGACACTTAGGAAATATTCATTAAAAGACAGCCATTATTATTTTTACTAGAAACAAAGTTCATTCTAGGCACTCCTGATAGTTGAAGGTGACAAGAACAAAAAAAAAATCTGTTTCGTACAAGGACAGGATTGTACTCCACTTATCTGGATAGCGCTAAAAGGAGTTTTTTTTATTATCCGGACTTTGGAGCAGGCATAATACCCTAGAGTTGTCGTTAGCTCATTATTTTGCTCTCATCAGTTTAAAAGTTCAATAAAGACATAAAGCTATTGATATCAAGTAGTTTCAGCTATATGGCGCCTAAGAAAACTTGGTTATCTGACCAGTATTTTCCGGGCATCTATTTTGTGCTATAGCATGAAGCACAAAACTATAAAATAAGGACCTAATGGAAAATAATGGTGCAAGGGGCAAAGTCTTAGTACTCTCAAGCTATTGGTGGCAGCCACTATAGCATGAGTTTGATTCCTGGCCTGGGAGCTGACCCACATGGCACAGCAGGCCACCCCTGGCTTGCCCATTGTTCAGCTCACTCTGTCTTTGAATACTCTCACCCCTGTCCCCCACCTAGACCCCAGTTCTTGTATGCAAAAATCTTAAAAGAAAACAACTTTTTCTGTGATAAAAATGTTAAATACATATTTATTCATTTAATGAATTACTCTAATGAAGAAAGTGACATTTTAAATCAGAACTTTGAGAAAGTTCAAGATGTTATAATGTTTTCACATTCTACATCATTCACCTGGCATTTAGTATATAACTTATAAAATAGGTATGTAGAGTGGTCAGACGCAAAGAGCCTGGGGTTCATTCTTTCTGCTAGACTGGTACTTCTCAAAGCATTGTCTGGAGAGGCTGGGATCCCACTGAGCCATTTGGGAGGTCTGCAAAGTCAAAATTTCATTAATCTATAATTTCATAATTATGATTTTCCTGCTCTCATTCTTCCATGTGTACAGTGACACTTTCCACAGGTTATAATGTATCAGATAATAAGACTATAAAAAATGTAAAATAACACTGTTTGCATTTTAGGGGAAAAGTTTTCATACAACAGTAGCTATAGTACCAAGATAATCAATTTGTTATTTATAAATGAATAAATATACATTTTCCATTTTAATTTTGAAAACAGTATATACTGATACATCATATAAACAGAAATACTCTGGGGTCTTTGATTTTTTTTCGTATTTAAAAGGAGAGAAGAGTAAGGGACACTTGCATAAAGGTGGGCAGAAAGAGCTACCGGTCTTAGATAATTTTTAAGAATGCAAAGGATTCCTGACATGATGGTTTGAAACTGCTATGGTAGATGCTACTGGGAAGTCAAACTTATCTCGTGACTCTTCTGGATCTGTTTGTTGCCCAGCTTCAGACTAATTTTCCTTTTGTGTTTGGTCTAAATGAGTGAGCAGTTAGTGGTCATTAATGCCAAGTTATTTCCTTCCGCCTGTCACTCTAGGATCATGAGTCTAGTGACCCAAACTGATTGTAGTGTATCTGTCCTGTTTCTCAAAGATCATTTCATTCTACCCCTTTCCTGCCCTCCAGACACATGGCAGCAGCTGACCTCAGCTTGGGCTAGTTGGGGCAGAAATTTCTTATTGCTTTACTTTTCATACTTTACTAACAAGGAGAGCTCTACTAACAAGTGTACCTTTGTGATTCACTGCCAATATCATTGATGGGTAGAAAGTCATACACAAATACATTTGAAAGTCCAGAACAAGCTTCTCAAATGTTGAACATGGCAACTAACATGAATGGTCATACTTCCCTGGAGACACTGAGGGTGGCCCATGGGGTAGCTAGAAACCCTGGGGCTTCATAGACCCCACTGTGAAATACAAATATGATTTTTCTACCTGTGTAGCAACATTAGTGAGAAATACTGGCTTAGCTCAATTTCTGGAAAAATAGAAAGTTTCCAAATTAATATATAAATATACAATTAAGAGAGTGGTCTTATACAGACTGATTAAAGTGATATTATCGCCAGATGAAGAGGGAATTCTCTGAACTTGCATGCTGTACACAATACATGGAGAAGACAGTAAAGATGTTTAAACAAAGATTTTTAGGGCCAGTGAAGTCTGCTTAGAAAATGTATACTTAGGTACCTGAGCAGCTTATGAAAATCCTTCCCCAAGACACATGTAACCTCAAGAAGCAGAGTCTCACAGGAAACAACCCCAGAAAGACTTTTCCTTTCACAGCCAAGGCTTTAATAATGCAATCACATTAAAATGTTTGGTTTCCATAGGAAAGATAAGGAAAAGAAGAAGAAAAAAAAAAAAAACATTTGGGCAGCACACAAATACTAAAGCAAAGTGAAAAGGAACACAGTGTACTTAGGGAACTTTGTGATACTGGCTTGAGGAGGGACAGCAGTAACAGGAGGAAGTTACAGGTAGCTGCTGGCTTGGTCAGACGCCTGTGTGTTCTGCTAAGCTTGAATTTTATTCTGTAGCTGGTGAAGAGTCATTGAAAGGTGGAGGCATGGGGTGAAGAAGAGACCAATGGATCTGTATATTAATAAAGAAGTATGATCAGTCAGGCATTGTAAAAACACCATATTCTAAGTGAGAAAACACTACTAAGGCTAGAGAAATCGAAATAGTGCATTTGAGAAGAGATGAGGAAGTAAAATGGAGAGCTTGGTGACTGAAGAGGCTAAAGAAAAGGAAGAATCAAATGTGCCTTCCACATTTCTGGTTTGGGAAACTAAGCTGAACATGGTGTCCTTGCCCCCTTCCTCACCCTACAATACACAAAAAGACCTGAGAAAGAGAATACAGGCAGTAGTTGAAAGGAGAGTAAGGGTAGACGTGACGTCACAAGAGAACAGAGGTCAGAATCCTGGGAACACCAGCTTGAGAGGTGAATGTGGATGCCTGGCTCCCCTCCCGCAGCCACTGCAGTGCACGAGACAGCACTGGAACCAGGAAAGAGAGGCGTAGGGGCGCTGGAGGCTGCCTGTGTGGGAACACAATTAGACCCGGGCAAAGGAGACCTAAGAAGCAGGGAGGCAAGGTGCCATCATGTGTTTCTGTGCAAACTTTGCTGGGAAGAGCACAAGCAGCATGGGAGGCGGATGTGGTATCTGTTAAAAAGGAAAAATCTGAAGACATAAAGGTGGGCTGGCTATGAAAGAGAAATAAAAGTTTATATCCCCTGAAGGGAAACAAAAAAAGTTAAAAGATCTGAGAGCACC